CACACCCAGGTGAATACACAACACCCAGGTGAATACACAACACCTGTAGGTGAATGTGTATAGGATATGATGTACAGGATAGGATCACATTCAAGAACTTGTTTCAATTTCATTTCACAACACAACAAATAAAACACAAAAAATAGTATATCTATTCATATATCACGTCCATCCCACTGTCCATCCAACCCTCCTCCTCTTCAGGCTCTTCATCAAATATGTACAGGCGATCCGCCTGCTGATTAAGTTGTGCTACGTCATCCTCACCATGCAGCATATCTTGCTCAAAAGTTTCCAATTCATCCAGGGTGGTTGCTTCTACACTTCCTGCCTTTACAATACACTCCCAAGTTGATTTACCTCTACAAACCAAACCCTCCCAGCGCTTGATCAATATATCAATTTCCTCCGCTGTTGACCTTGTATAAACATATGACCTTTGTAACAATTCCACCAGATTTAAATTCCACATCATCCATCTCTTGCAATGTTTCTGACGCAGATTGTCATGGAGGGCTTTTAAGACTAACACATTCAAATCCCAAACATCCTTGGAGATACGCTGTCCAGGCTGCACTAATTCAATTATATCCCTTCCACCATTTTCCGGATTATAATCTTACATATACACAAGACCATAAAACATTAGATTAGAAAACATAACAGAGAAACCAGGAAAACAGACAAACTTACCACTCCTACACAAAGCCAGTAGTCCATCTAGTTTTTCTTCAGTCTTTAAAGCCTGATGTACCATCTGCTGGGTCTCTCGTCCAATCCTTCGAAGTTCTTCACTACACGCACGGTGCTGTAAAAATGCTTGTATACCTTCAATTGTTCCAGGATCTATAGCCCACTTCTCTGTAGGATGAGAAAGAGCCCCCACATTCCAGAATATATCCTCAAAGGGTAGTCTTTTGGCTTCGTCGAGTGATGGACAGACCATCCGGCTCACGGGCCGAATTTTGTTGTACTGCGTCACCTGAGACTGGTAGGATGTCCACTTCCTCTTGAACGCCAATTGTTTCTTGTTCATGAAAGTCTTTAGTCCTTGTTGTGCTTTTGTACCTACAATACATAAACATTCCATACATGAATGCATGCTTGTAGCCGTTGTAAAATAAAAAAACTCGCCTTGACCATCCTTGTCCCACTTTTTCTGGGCTTCCACTATCCCAACTTTAGCTTCATATAGCCTCATCTTGGCGAGACGCACACGTATCAAGGCTTGTGCTTTGGGACCTATTGAGAACAAAGAGGTCAGTCAATATTTAGATTTGTTGAATATATCACCAAAACCCACTTGTGGCTGCTTTAAGTTGAGTGAACTCAGGGTTTCCTAACTCTTGTCTCAGATCTTCAACTGCCATCTCGAGTTCAACAATGGAAGCTGGCAAAGTCAGGAATTGCGCCACTTCATCTTCCGTCCGATTGCTTCTTCTCTTTCTCCGAAGACGCTTTAGCTCTTGGCTGTTGAAACACTACAGTCAGCACGCATCCACAAGAATACTGAAATTAAATTACCACAACGTACTGCGCTTCCTTCACCTGCTCTTCCAGGTCAAGAAGTTCAATCAAATAATCTTCTAGCTTCTTTCTTGCTCCACCGTCTTCCATGGCAGCCAACTGGGTGGCCTTCTGCCGCTCCCACTGCCTGGCAAAATAGACATATGTGAAAGAACTATCTTGAGATTCCAGCCTTTCGAGTGTAGCAGATGCCACGTTGAATTGTGTTTGTGCAGTATATAGTTTCACCTCCGTGGAAAGTGCTGCAAATATAAGATTGTGTCCTGTTAATTTCCATCATCATTGCGTTTTTAGGTAACATTACATACCTGCATTATTACATCTTGTGTCATTTCCATGACTTGCCTTTAAATCTATAGCATCAACTCGGTGTTGTTTGGTCAAAGATCTATTTGGCGCTATGAGAGGATCCTGGTCAGACCAGATCCTCTCATTTCCTTCTCCATCTGTCAATCCATTACCCTTGTTCAGCCGGGGATTGTACTTGAGCTGACAAGTCCATTTATGTGCATACGCATGAAATGCACTAGTTGCAAATCTGAGAAGTCCACGCTGGTATTCATCTTCAAAATATTTGTTCTGTGAAATGAAGCTCCTGAATCAGAGACATGTGAGCGGAAAATGCAAATATAAGAACTTTACCTTCTGTACACTTTTTTCTAGCGTACAACCAATGTCGTAGAAAACTGTCATGCTTTTGGTTGGTTTGCCTGGCTCTGCGGTATCTTTCATCAGCTGATCAAGCAATGCAAGCACAAAATACTGCCTATTTCATAAAAACGTGGATATCAGTAGTTGCGTAGTCTATTTCATATTTGTGGGAAACCTCACTTCTCTCCGCTCTGTACCACATTGACAAAGTTCAATACGTGATCGTGTCTGCAAGCCAAACCAATGAGTCCGGTTTCATCACATCCCTTCCAAGTTGACTTTCCCCGTACATCTGATGCAGCCGTGTGAGAGGCCGTACATGGGTCCTAAAGTAAAATGAAAGCACCATTAGTCCTTCTATCACCTCAAGAGACCAGTGATCTATCTCGACCAAGCAGTGTGACCCTCATTCACATCAGGTGAACCCATTCACCTGATGTGATTCAAATTCACCCGACGTGATTATGAATCACCCAATGTGAATCAAAATCACCCAGTGTGATTTTATTTCACCTGATGTGATTTGAAATCACCCAGTGTGACTCCCATAGAGAGGTCAATTCTATCGCTCTGATGTGAGTTTGGTCAAATCCAAAGATTTCACATCACACCAGGTGAATTGTAATCACACCAGGTGAATTGTAATCACACCAGGTGAATTGAAATCACACCAGGTGATTGTAATCACACCAGGTGAATTGCAATCACACCAGGTGATTGTAATCACACCAGGTGAATTGCAATCACACCAGGTGAATTGCAATCAGGCCCGGTGAATTCAAATCAGGCCCGGTGAATTCAAATCACGCCTTGTGAATTCAAATCACGCCAGGTGAATGTAAATCACACCAGGTGAATGCAAATCACACCAGGTGAATGCGGTTCACATCAGGTGAATTCAATTCACACCAGGTGAATCCAATTCACACCAGGTGAATTCAATTCACACCAGGTGAATTCAATTCACACCAGGTGAATTCAATTCACACCAGGTGAATTCAATTCACACCAACCAATTTTGAAGAAAATACATATTCTACATACCACAGTTTGACGGCCTGGCCCCTTTTCAGGCACTCTGTGTTTCCACTCTTCCACCTTACTATTATCCAGGAAAAGAGGCGGAGTTTCCATTTCTGTTTCCTCGTACTCGCGGCTTGCAGCAAGGTGTCGGCGGTGTTGAAAGTTTCCATTGGTACAGACATGATAGTCTGTCTTGTCTGCCTGATCATTTCCTTGAAGTGGTCCAAAACATCTTGGGCAATTCATAGCCAGTTGATCCAAAGCTGTGAGATATAATGCGCATATTGTGAGTTGCTGCCCTTTGCGTAGCATGTTTCTATATGCATCAATGGCTGAAGAGAAAAGCCTGCGCCACTTTCAAGGCTGCAATGTCCATCATAAGTCAGAATCCGTGGAAAAACATCAGATGATGATTTTCAACGAAACTTGCTTGATTTGTTTTTGCAACCAATATCAAAGGGCTGGCTGGGTCGAGAAACTCATCCAACCCAAGAGTAAATCCCTGGGTTCTGACCGTACAATACTTCCACAATGCATGGTGCAACCTCAGTAGCCTGATAGAAAATGCTACTTGAGGATGCACTGGGGACCCTCCGATGTAACCCATATGGATCAGACGAACTTGATCTAATGTACATTTACAAAACCGGATTTCTTCTTGCCTACGTTCTGACATGCAATCCCATTTCATGACATTAATATTAATGTCATGAAACGCATTCCTAACAACAAATACTCACCTAAAATATCTACCATGTCAACCTTACGAATCTTCAGGTCTCCTCCCCCACACGCACAGACTGCATTGTTGTAGTCGTGGTTCCAGCGGGTTCTGTTCCCCCATTGCGACGTCTCCTGGCACAAGGTCATGTAGGAGAGAAACATAGCAGGTAAGGCCTTCTGCCAATTTTTCTTTTCTGCCAACCGTTTGCTTTTGTAATAAGACCCTTGAACATATTCAGCAAATGGCACATCCATCCGCGGAACCCCTTCAGGATTCTCTGGATGGGGATGCGGAAGGAACTCCTCGACGTGATTATAAAGCCCGTTGTCGTTATCAGCGTTTGGATTTTCTTTTGCCGCAGTAAGCTCGATGTCGCCGCCCTCAACTTGATTTGCCTGACCGTTGGAAGCGTCATTAAGTGCACGCTCAATTTCTTTGATGCGGTTATTGATGTATTTTGCTTCATTAGCATTGAGTTCTTCGGCCAGGATGGCAGAGCCTTGAGCTTCGCGCTGAGTACGTCGTTTCTTATTGGATGGACCACCCAGTGGACAGTCGATTTTGTTCCCTTTAGCCATGGATCGTAGGTCTTAAGATAGTAAAATGTTGCGGTTTAAAAGCATGATATCTGAAAAAGAACGATCACAGGTTGGTTGTTACCTCAATTGGAAATACTCAAAACGGATGGGGCAACTTCACCCCTGTCTACCCAAAGGAGCTAAATGTCTAAAGATACAGCCCCTATATAAAAATTTCAAAGCTCCCTCTCTCTGTTTTATGAGCCAAGCCACAATACTTTCGTAGCTCATCAGTGGCATATCCTTCCAAAAGGTCGATGATTAATACAGTTGACAATACACCTTGAATGTTGTGCGACAAGATTCAAAGTCTGATTTGATAGACGTAGGATATTTCAAATATTTTCTCACATTCCCACTAATTCAAAATACAGTCTCGCTCTGGTAAGTTCACTGACTCAATACTTCTCCTGACCTGCCTGCCCTCACTATATTTATTGCGTTCTGATTACTGATCACTTCCATCAATATTCTACGATTGATAATCCCCTTACAAGATGCCAAGAAACACAAGATCTCAAACACTAAAGGGTTCCACCACAAACCCTTCAACTGTAACGAACTCCCGCGCTAAACTTCGAAAGCTGGCCACTGGTTCCAATGGAAGTCGAGCTCCCCAACGCCGTGTCTCAGCCTCTCGTCAAGCAGAGAACATAGAGGACGATGATGAAAGCCAAGATGAATACAAAACGGAAGATGATGAAGATATCGAAGATGAAGTGATTGATTTGCAACTTTGACCCACTCAACACAAAAGAACCCGAGTGAACTCGGATGAAGAAAGTGATGATGCTGAGTTACTTGATCGACTTGCAAGACAAATCAACTCGGATGACGATCACCGTAAAACAAGACTTTCAAAAACTACTGCAACCCAACAAACCGGGGAGACTGCTCATCTCGATGAATCGGAAACACCCTTACCTACCATTAAGGAATACAAGAACCTGCTGAACGAGTGGCCACTTGGTCGCATTGCGGAAGTCAAACGATCTCAGAAGAAGAAAGGAACCGCTGTTCCTCCGCATATCTTGACGGAAGCAAGAGCGATTCGAAAGATTTACAAACATCAGAAGGCGATGCTGACCATCATGGGCAATATAAGTATGTTCACTCTTCAAAAAGCTTTGTAAGTAATCATACCTATTACTTCACTTTTGTCTTTTTGGAGATTTCTTGACTTCGCGTTTTTGACAACCCGTTTTCAGGGGTGAGCTTGGAGGCCGGCGCAAAGGCGGACACTATCAAATATTCTTAAAGTACAGCAAAGCAAGACGTGATTACCGAAGTAAGTACATCTCTCTACATATAGAATCAAGATCTAATCAAGATCTAATCACGCTGATCTTTCCACACACTAAATACAGTGCCTGCAGGCAAAGGACATAAGGGAATATTGGCTGCTCGAAACCGTAAGCTAGGGAAGATCTGGACAGCTATGCCTCTAGAGCATCGAGAAGTGTTTGAGCCTTCAGTCTTTTACACTTTGTCGGGCCTGGTTCACAATTCGGGGGATGATGACGATGAAAGTGATGTAGAGAAACTTCAGCTTCAGCCAGAAGTACTTGCTAAATTACAAGGATTCTACGATGATTTGGTTTGTAAAGACAAGGTAGCCAAGGAATATGCGAAACTTGCATCTGGGCAAGGTGGTCCTTCTCTTCCCGATTTCAACCGCAAATCTCTCAAATGCATAGAGCGGATCCACAGCGATGTAAGTTGTCAGATAATATCAAAACTTTATAGCTTAACTGAAAAAAGGTTCTCTTTCATAGATTGAAAACGAATCCAATAACATGGAGTTCTCATACTACCTCTTGGCTTGTAGCACCCATGCTTCAACTGAGGCTTCCTGCGGATCGCCTGGATGGGCTAGGGAGTTCACGTCTCACGATGCAATGGCTGTATATGTCAATAAGAAGAGCAACTTCGGCAAGGTATTTGCCGCACACGCCCAAGGCCTTTCGGTGGCCGAGGCAGTTGCTCAAATAGTTGGACCCAATGTTATGTCAAATGGTGGAAAGGTTCGAAAAACCGATCCTGGTGATATAGTCAAAGCTGATCTGGCACTGTTGCTGCGAGGAAGTTTCAGTACGTACAAAGCTATCAGAAATAGCTGGATAATCTTTGTCAATATCTAACAAATACATATTTATAATTTATGACAGGTTCCTTGACCGGGAAGGAACAAGGTTTCCCCCGTGGACCAGACCCAGTTTCTTTGTTACGGGAAGACCATGGTATTAATATTATCCAACTGCCAGGTTCCAAACTTCCTTCTGAGGTCCTGAAACTGGGTTTTAATGCCATGAATAGTCGTAGAAGCCTTTGGCTGGACAATGTACAAGCAAGTAAGTTCAAGATGGAAAAAATCAAAGCAGATTCAGAACCTCTTGAAGAGACTGCGGATGAAAGTGTTTCAGCAACAGAAGATCAAGTGATGATGACACAGGATATTCAGGATTATCAGGAAAATGACAACTTCGACATGGATGTGGATGAAGACTTAGACAAATCAGAGGAAGAGTGGAATGGTTTTGGAGATATTGATCAGGATGTTGATGAGGACGAATGATCTTATACATTCATTTCAAAAATATACACCAATGGAAAATGGATTTCCATCTTTATTCTATTTGTCCAAAATCTTTTGTTTTCCCTTTTCTCTTTTTCCATCTTTATATTTTTCCAAAATCTATGGTATTCATCTGTTTTGAATGATGTCAATATGATTCATGATCACCTACTCATCATAACACATTGAATATCTATATAAGGCCTCATTTCATTTCAGGCCATGTGAATGGCCTGATTACGCATTCACACATTTTGGTATGAAGGTGAATCACACGGGGTGAATGTCATTCACATCATGGTGAAAGACAATCACCCCGTGTGAATGACATTCACACAGCGGTGATTTCAAGCTGCACCCATTCTTGATAAGAAGTTGTAACATCTTGCAGGTAAACACCTCATGGCTAACAAGTATTGCCATAAGGTAATAGAACCTATCTGATTCCAAAAATCCACTCAGATCCAGACCTTTCCCAATACTGTCAAAGTTGTGGTAATATGGACACTTTCACATCCAGGTATGTGTATATATCTGAGAATGTGAAGTTGTCGCAACTTACCCCAAAACATCCTCTACCTTATGGTCAACAAGTATTGCCATAAGGTAAATAAACCTGTCTGATTACAGAAATCAACTCAGATCCAGACATTTCCCAAAACTGTAAAAGTTGTGGCAATATGGACTCTTTCACATCCAGGTATGCGTATATATCTGAGAATGTGAAGTGGTCTCAACTTACCCCAAAACATCCTCTACCTCATGGCTAACAAGTATTGCCCTAAGGTAAATAAACCTGTCTGATTCCAAAAATCAACTCAGATCCAGACATTTCCCAAAACTGTAAAAGTTGTGGTAATATGGACTCTTTCACTTCCAGGTATGCGTATATATCTGAGAATGTGAAGTGGTCTCAACTTACCCCAAAACATCCTCTACCTCATGGCTAACAAGTATTGCCATAAGGTAAATAAACCTGTCTGATTCCAAAAATCAACTCAGATCCAGACATTTCCCAAAACTGTAAAAGTTGTGGTAATATGGACTCTTTCACATCCAGGTATTAGATCTGATAATGTGTATATTACTCATTATCAGCCTAAAAATCTCATACATCTTAAACACAATGTGCAATGTGATTAATATATACACATATCTCCGACATTACAAGTCATATGTATATGACTTGGAGGCCCAAGTCATCCAATTGAGAAGTTATCACTGATCTTATAATAATGATTCAGTGGAATCACCTCCATGTGAATCCAACCAAACTCCAGAAATCCGCCTAAAGTAGAGATTCACATCTCTGTGATCACCTAGATGATTCTGGATGACTGTGAAGGTGGAACAGTGGAAACACAGAGTGCCTGAAAAGGGGCCAGGCCGTCAAACTGTGGAATGTAGAATATGTATTTTCTTCAAAATTGATTGGTGTGAATTGCATTCACCTGGTGTGAATTGCATTCACCTGGTGTGAATTGAATTCACCTGGTGTGAATTGAATTCACACCAGGTGAACCGCATTCACCTGGTGTGATTAGGGGGATGTAGGATAGACTTCTCACAAATTTAAACAATATATGACCTTTCTTACAGAATCAAATTGTTACGCATCTAAATACAACTTTAGAAGTCACCAAAAAGCTAACCCTGGCTTTTCTTTGTTTTCCTCCTGACCACAAGGTTTTTAGAAATTTTCTCAGATTTAGATTTCAACTTATTAGTTGCCTTCTCAACTTTGTCTTCAAACATTTCCTCATAAGTTTTCACCCTTGCATCGCAGTGCTGCTTCCATTGAGAATCAGTCATCCCAGCTTGCTTCTCACCTAGTAGCCTAATCCTATTCACCAGAGCCTCAGATATCTGGCAGGAGGAACCGTATAAAGTTACTATGCTTTTTTTGTGGTCAATCTCCTTACCTTGACCATCATAAGCTTTCGAGGGAGTTGTATAATGGGGAATCTACATATAAACAATCTTGGATTAAATAAAACCAAGAGTCATTCCAAATCAAAAATAAAATTACTTACGGTTGTATCCCACACCATATCTGCCACACCATTACATACACCCATAGCTACCTCAATTCCAAAACTATCTATACAAAAATTTGCACCTTTAACTTCTCCAAGCTTCACCGAGTCCTTTTCACAATTTTGAATTCCTTTCTCCTTATCATATAGTACTCCTGATGCTTTTAGAATCAATCCCCACATTCCAAAACCGTATCTAGTATGATCCTTGTCAGTGTGTGAGTAATTGTAAAACCCTTCACACGTAACCACAAGATTAGATGCAAATACCAAACCATTTTGGGTTAATTGCCATTTTAATTCGTGAAAACCTGGTACCTTTGCTTTCAAAGCAAGATCAACATTCGTTTTAAATACCTTCAATGATAAACTAGAAAATCGTTCCGCCCAAAAATCTTGTATCCGATGATACTCTTCCATCCGTTCTTTATCCGTCTGGATTCTATCTATATTTGCAGAGGTGAAAGCGTTTAAAGTATAGGGACCTATAGATAGATATATGCAAAATGGTGATATGTTATCCAATTCAGTAAAGATTTGGAATTATACTCAGAACGCCAATCACATACCTGCGGATTTATCTTTCTCACATCCACCTCGCCATCCAGTACAACCCATCCAGCCAGATAAAGGCTCTTCTTCCTCTTCTCCTTCTTCTAGTTCGCCTTTTTTAAGCGAGGTATGAATCTTGCACTGATTTCTAGCTCGGGCATGAAGAAAGGTTGTTGACATAGAATGATTATATTTATCCCTAAGATCCTTATCCATCTTTTCAAAAGGAGTGAATCGGACAATCAAAACAATAGAAAGATCCTTTTTATTAATTACCACTACAGTACCAGAGTCGATGATAATTTTGGAAGGTACTACTAAAGGTCTGTCAATGATACTATAACGAAAAATGAATTTAGTATTTAGAGGTAAACCTAATTCTTCAACCAGTTGTCTTTTCAATTGTGTTCGCTTTGCATGATGACGACGATAAACCTGACCAATCGTTTTTTCTTTCCTGTATTTAGCACGGGATTTGTAGTAGCTCGGAGAGGTTCTAGACTTGAAGCTACAGACATGAATACCCGCTTTTTTCTTTCGAAGTGTACTTCTTTGACGTGTCATGGTACAATCAGGTGTAAAACGAGGATTGTGAAGTTACAAACTACAGATAAAAGGTTACCACAATTAGTTCAGTCTATCCGATCATTGATAAGCAGATAGATTCAATATTCATCGTAATGAGACTCACAAATGTAATAAGATCACCAGTAGGATCAGAAAAGTTGAGTCCAGCTAATAAACTAATCGCTTCTATAAATGAAAGATCCAGAATTGAATGGATTTAAGAAACGATCGATCAGTTTCCAACTCATTCAAGTATAGTAGCATGATGATTCTACTAACCTAAGCGGATTCCTAGCACAGATTCCAAGTAGTGAGACTTTGTTCGATAGTTTGAATTAAGGATTGAAACCAACAGAATAAGAGCGAATAAAAAGATTTAATATAGAACTTCCTTCCTGAGAAGGCCAAATTCTCCCGGTTCGTAGCACGGAGTCCGACAACGAAGGAGAAAGCAGCTTCAATCTGCAGGTGGAGAGATCTTTATGGGATGAAATAATGATTCGTTTGGTCCTTTGCGATTGAATGATCGCAGGTGGAGGCTGCTGGAGGTCTTTGGTTCATTTGAGCTTACGCGGTATCCGGGTTAGGTCTGGTTTGTACCACCCAGCTCAAGCATGGGTTAGGTTTGGGATGGTAATTTTAAGTCATTAAAATTACCATCCCTACTTCTCTCTCTTTGCTTTGAATCAGACAACAAACCCCACCTTCATAAACAACTTCCTTAAGATGGACCTTTCTCATCAGTACGACCACTTTACGTTTGGTCGGTTCAACAACATTCGTCACTTCTATACCCGTGATTTCCATAATGGTGTCGGGAAACCTCTTACACTCGACCATTTCAACCCCGTGGTATGGGAAAAACACAAACGACAAAACCCAATCTGTGGAGAATCTCTGTCAAGCTATCCAAACCATGACCAAGTAAGTATTCATCTGTTGCAAACCCATGTTGCAACCTCGCGTACTAATATATCTCATTATCTAGGCGCAACCTCATACTTGGGATGGAGAGACAATGGAGAGGTATTGGTCAAACTTTCCACAAGATTATCAAGTAAGTAAACAAAACTTCCCAAACTTATTAAAGAGTATTTTGTATTGAACTAACCAATTATCTCCATATGTAGCCTGAAGATCATCCACGACAACATCCGGTGGCTTGCTTGCAAGAAAAAACAACTGCAATGCCTTGCTGCTCAACATGCTCGAAAGACTCAAAACCGTCAACTTGCACCTTGTTTTATCATTCATTTTGAAGGTTTGACCACGACATAAGCAAGTAGAAAATCATGAAAGTTTTTGCCTATATTCTATATTTTTGATAGTTTCAGATGTCGAAATCAAATTGATTGAATTATGAAATCGGATCAATATGAAATTTTATTTTATTTTTCTTTGTCAGTCTCAATCTTTCATTGAGACTTACTTATGTAGAACAAGGCCGGCTGAGAGAGTGAGATAAAGTGTCCTATGTGAGAATATTATTAAAGTCTCACATATATGTGAATGTGTTTCACATATGCGTGAATATGATTTTGATATGTGAAACATATGCACGCATATGTGAAATGTATTCACGCTGATGTGAAACATATTCACGCATATGTGAATTTATATGTGTGGATCTAAATTCACATATGCGTGAATATGTTTCACATATGCGTGAATATGTTTCACATATATGTGAAATGTATTCACGCGTATGTGAAACATATTCACGCATATGTGAATTTATATGTGTGGTCACATATATGTGATCCAAATTCACATATGCGTGAATATGTTTCACATATAGGTGAATATGTTTCACATATGGGTGAATATGTTTCACATATGCGTGAATGTGGATCACATATGGGCTGAATGTGCATCACATATATGTGAAGCATATTCACCCATATGTGAAACATATTCACCCATATGTGAATCTATATGTGTGCTTCACATATATGTGATCCACATTCACGTATATGGGAAGGAAGGTACACATACGTAATCTGCCATATCACACTATGTGACTGTCCAACACATATGTGTGATGGCAGATTACGTATGTGTACCTCTGTCACATGTGGGTGAACTTAGATTTCCCGTATATGTGAAATGTAAGTTCACCCACATTGGGGTGAACGAATTTTCAACCAACACCCCTACTTCTCTACCCCTTCAAATCGAATTCTTCATTTTTCACCTACCTCAATTCCTCACCTCAAGATGGACCCAAAAACTAATCCGACCATTAGCTCTGACCCTACTGCCGATACGAATCCTGCCGATATGAATCCTGCCGATAAGAATCCTGCTGATACGAATCCTGCCGATACGAATCCTACCAATACGAATCCTGCCAATATGAACAGTGCCAATAACACTTCTGCCGATTCTTCGACTAGTGCCAATCCAACTCTTCCTTGTCCTCCTGCAGGAGGATCCTATGAAAGCAGCGCGGCTGCTGAGATATTTCTCAAGAACTTTGCCCACTCGAATGATTACGCTTTATCATCCATGGATTCAAAGGCAAGGTTCAAAAAATGGAAATGTATCCAAGGCCCAAATCAAAAGCAACTGCAGAAGCTAGCGAAAGATCCACACGCCTCGATTCCGACTTGTCCTTTCATAGTTTCCGCAAAATACCAAACCAGTAGCAAAACGTGGTTGATCGTTATCGATCATCCTAATCACAATCATGGCCCCATACCGAACTTGAAACCACCTAAGCTTCCGTCTCTGGTACCCACTCAGGCTAAGAAACGAAAACAACGAAGTGATGCCATTGTTCTTGACCTTACTTATGAATCTGAAGACCCCGACGAAAGTGATCAAGAAGCTGTTGATGATTACAAGACCCTCAAGAATATGATGAAGAAGTTTGATGAGAAAACCCAACGCTTGCTGATCAGACAATTCATACGAGATTGCGAAATCACCAAGGTGCTTTACGATTCAACAAAAGACGACCAAGTTTCAGCCAAGATTGTGAGTTCTTCTTGTATGAGTGCGAATGTTTGTGATTAAACCTCTCAAGCATTCGTTCCTCATGATTGTTTGTTTGATATGTTTTAGGAAGGAAAAAAGAAGGGCGAAGCGAGCATCATATCCCGATCACCCAAAGATGAAGAAGAAGAAGAGGATGCTGAGAAGGTTTGTTTATAATTTTTATAAGATCAGTATTGAACATTAGTTGGCACTACAAGAAAGATAATATTTTCTGGGCAGAAAATTAAATTATTGATACACAAAAATATTGAGAGGCCAGGAGGAGAGCAAAAGATGAATAAAAATATGCATCTTGTTCCCTGCGTTGAGAGCTTCACTCTGCATATTTTTCCGTATTTTTACAGTCCATATTGATAAGTGTACTAACAATAAACCTTCACAATCATCCAATTACAACCTGTAACAAGCACTGAAATTTGGCTCATTAGTGTTTAGAGAAACTTTTGATTTCTGAAAATACTCATAACTTTTTCAATTCCGGTCCAAAACGCTCGATTTTGGGTGCATTGGTAAGCTGGAATTGTCCTCCAAATAGTTCATAATGGGACCACACAGCATGCTGGTCTGCTAGAAAAGATGTCATCTTTTTTATACATTTGTACATACAGATCTATAGAATGATTACCATACTAGCTACATAGTTCTTGATCTTATTAAAGTTCGAGAGGAAGAGGTCAGCTGTCTAATGCACTTAAAATCGAGTGTTTTGAGGCAGATTTGACAAAGTTATAGGCGTTTTCAGAAATCAAAAGTTTCTGTAAACACTAATGAGCCAAATTTCAGTGCTTGTTACAGGTTGTAATTGGATGATTATGAAGGTTTATTGTTAGTACACTTATCAATACGGACTGTAAAAATATGGAAAAATATGGAGAGTGAAGCTCTCACCGCAGGGAACAAGATGCATATTTTTATTTATTTTTTGCCCTTCTCCTGGCCTCTCAATATTTTTGTGTATCAATAATTTAATTTTCTGCCCAGAAAATATTATATTTTGTGTAATGTGGGTATCTGATTGTTTGTTTAATGTCTTTTAGGAAGTTACGAATAAGGGCAAAACGGGCACCATATCCCGACTTCCCAAAGAAGAAGATGGAGAAGAAGAGGATGCTGGCACGGTTAGTTTAAAATTTTTGTTCTTATAATCTATGTTCGATCAGTATTGAACATAGTTGGGTATCTGAATCTTTGTTTAATGTCATTTAGAAATTTACGGAGAAGGGCAAAGCCAGCATTTCTTCACAAACCCCCGAAGAAGAAGATGAAGATGAAGAGGACGCTGGCAACGTTAGTATATAATTTTTATTTGATCAGTATTTTACATTAGTTGGGTAGATGATTGTTTTTTTAATATCTTTTAGAAAGTAACCAAGAAGGTCCAAACTAGCATCGAATCCCGATCACGCAAAGAAGACGAAGTGGATGGTGGCAAGGTTAGTCTATAACCTTGAATTGATCAATATTTTATATTGAATAGCTGATTGTTTGCCATTGATAGGGAAAAGCCACTATAGAAGACAATGGAGTTAGGCCTGAAAGACCTGACTCCCCCCTCACCTCGCAGGGGGAGGATCCGGATCCAACCCCTGTCACCACTCGAACTAGGCATGCGGCTCATGCGGAGAAGAAGGCAACCCCGTCTGATAATATAAAAGATGGAGGTCGTGGGACTCGCAAATCTGTGAGAGTGATCTCACAAACTTTGGATGAAAATGTAGGTCGATGACCGCTTTGAATGTTCAACTTTTCAAAGCTCTCTTTTCAAAGCTCTGACATACTTACTTTTGGTTTGGCAGGATCTCCCAGTAAGCAAGCGCCCGAAACGTTCTGAGATGCCAAAAAAACCTGCACCGGGGTCGAAAAATTCGGAACCTGTAAGTCTTGTTTGGAGCTTTGATCAGTCTCCAAAGCTTGCAATCATCAAATAGGATTTGGCTAACATACCTATTAGTTTTCGCTTGAAAATATATCCGCCAAAGCACAAGAACAACTTGAAAGACAAAAAAAACGAAAAGAAGAAAAGCTCTTAAATGCCAGCCCAGAGGAACAAGTGTTGATTGTGAGTATCTAACCTTCAGAGTATCAATATCACGATCTTTAATATACTGACATACCTGGCCTGGCGTTTTTAGAAGTGGGACTTTCTAAGAGAGCTGCCTACGATGCTCATTCCTTTTGTCAAATCGGCAACAAATGTCGAAGGGAACGGACTTTGTGCTTTTGCATCTGTTGCGGTGTCACTTGGACGTCCTGAAAGCGATGCTGTGAAGGTGCGAGCGACGATGGCTAGCGAAGTACGAGCCAACTACGAATGGTACAAGGAGCAGTTGCCAAGACTCAGCGCATCCGGCACGACTGTCACCCATATGTTGAATATACTGGAATATGGGAAGAACCACGCACCACAAAGGTTGTGGTATCCAATTCCCGGTGGCTGTTGTGTTATAGCAAATGCTTTCAAGAGACCAGTCATATCATACTCCTTGGTGGCTACTGCATCATGTACAACTTTACCTTTTTTTTCAGCCCCAATAGGTACTACTCGACCAATCATTCTTGGCGTCATCTGGGATACTCACTGTATTTCTCTGGACCTCAAGTTTTCTCCCACCCTACCAATTCCTTACCTCCATCCGGATTGGCGCACCATCAGTTCTCCTAAAGCCAAAGATTGGAAAGATTGGTTTGCTGATAATATCGATGTATATAAACAATGGCGCAGGGAATGCTTCATGATCACTCGTCCAAACTGTGAGAAGGGTGTGATCTCAGATGATGATTAATGAGCAGTCCCTTCTTGTTATACCTTATAAAATCTTGAATAGGTTTTTGAATCATAAATTGAATAAAAAACCCGCTTGTGACTTCTTTTTTTCAAAGCTTGTTCTTATTTAATTTGTGATGAATCAGCCTCGTAATTTGAGTCTTCTATATATCTCATGAGATTACTGATTGCAAATTCCCCTGATGTGCTTGCCTTCACATATGGGTAGATGAGGTTGTGAGGTCAAAGTCTATATGTGACTGAAAATGACAATCACGCACGTGTGGTGGCATATGTAATGCATGCCGCAGTGTAGCGGTGAAGCTGATTCCCATATGTGTAATATGATGTATTGTATATTAACATGTGTGTTTGGTTATTATAGGGGTGTTTTATTTACATATGCATTGACTAAATTCGCAGATTAGGATTCCTAAATTCGCACATTGGTATTCACATGTATGTGATTGGTATTCACATATATGTGACTGGAATTCACATATATGTGATTGAT